CACAAACTGTACTTAAATACAACTCTGAGGTACTTAAGAAGTTCCAAAGGATGAATTGAATTGAAATGAACTTTTTACTTAACTATTTATCTGACAGATGGTTAATTTGCAGAAATTTAACATGCAAAAATATGATCATCTTGTAAAACGTGCTGCATCTTTATAGATTAAACTACAGCTCGATGTATGTATTCTGTATGTGTGTAGTGGTTCCAGTGGCCGTTAGGTGAACTGCAGTCAGCGTCCTGTTGCTCATCTGCACTGCGAACACAGTCTGTGGACGCGAGCTGGCATCATCCTTCACCCAAAAGTGATAAACACGAGACTGAATGCTGAAAAATAAACTGCACTCATATCTAGAATATCGTTAATAACCTGCAATGTTCCTACATTTTATTTGTATAACTGTCTCCATGATACTAACCAGCTTCAATCAAATCACCCCATCAGCCAAAACCATGAAGCAACCAAGACCAGACCCACACCACGATGTGTTGGACTGTTGTGGTGGGTGCTGGTGGTTCGTAGATGTTCGCTGACTCCATTTATAAGCTAATGTTAGCTGTTGCACACTGTAGTGAAGTGGAGACAGAAGGCACATAAACTTCACATTCTTTGGATGTTCACAGAAAAGTCCGACCTGTTGCGTCCGTTCATAGAAACGCATAAAAATGAGTCTACAGGCAGCCGAGAAAGTTACAGAAGATTAAATTTTTTTTAAGTTAAGTTACAATTAAGTCACACATTAGAAATAAAAAGTGATTCATACATAAAAGAAATAAAAACGCTTAAAAATCTTATCATGGAACTTTTAAATCAGCTCCACCTCAGCCTCAATTCCACATAAATACACACCAGTATAAGAAATACTTTTACTTAGTACATTTTGCTTATAATACTTTTAATTAGAGTATTTTTACTCTGTTACTGCTACTTTTGCAAAGCACCAGTTGTTTATAAAACTGTATAATCTGTAACAATCTGTGATATCACTGCTGTTTATATGCAGAATATATCTGGATTCGTTGGTTAATGTCGGCGGTAACCGACTGAAGAGCCTCTCAGCCCACAATTCAGTGACTGCTGAGGAAGATCATGTAATGTGATGGAAAGCTCCAGAATAGCAACCGAACGACAGTGTTGTGAGACAGCTGCTGTTTCCGAGGTCAAGAATAAAAACTTTCAATTTAAAATCCTTGCGGAGATCCAAATTCCTGAAGGATGATGTCTTATTATTTGTTTCACACACAAGATATTAAATCCATCTTGTGAAGTGAAGACAGACTTTGCTCACAGAGATATACAATCACACACACACACGGAGGAAGAGCTGTAAGAAACACAATAAGAGGGGGATATCACCACAAAGCTCCTCCTCCCCCTCTTCTCCATCAGTTTGACCT